ACAAATTTTGAATTCTAATAAAGCGAAATGAGGAAATGATTTATTTGATAAACCAAAATATTAATATTGTGTATCATAACGAGAACTTTCAATTTTTTGGATTTTCACAAAAAAATTATGTAAATAATTATATTAAATTAAATAATAAGATTAATTTTAAAACAAATACACATTAAGTTTAGTAAATTACTTTAATGTATTTAAAATCTTGAACCTATATTTGATTACAAAAAATAATTAAATAGGATTTAATTTAAAGGAATAAAAATATTATTTTATAGATAATTTTACCTTTATTGGATATAATTATAATTCTAATTCATTAGATAAATTAATAAAATAATAATAATTTTATTAAAATTAAATAATGATAGATTTATATCATATATTAATAAATATGTGATAGAATAGATTTTTAACAAATTGGTTTAAGATCATTTTCATATGAGCATAATATACTACAATTTTGACAAAAAAATGACAAAATTAGTAATAAATTTATATTTTATAATAGAATATAATAAAAAATAATAATATAACTAGTAATAATATTTCACATGAGTGACAAAAAATTGTGATAGATTTAATGACAATGTCTAAAAATTGTGATTAAATATTGTGATAGAATATTATAAGAGAATATTGAAACAATTTTTAAAATTTAATATTTTAAAAACTTGAAAATTTTTAAAAATTCAAAATATATTTATATTAGAGAGATTAAATTTCAAATTTTATGTAAATATAGAAACTAAATTTTTAATTTCGTGTGAGTATAAGGATTAAACTTTAAATTTTATATAAGTATAGAAACTAAATTTTAAATTTCGTACGAGTATAGAGATTAAATTTTAAATTTTGTATAAATACATAAACTATTTATATAATTTAACAATTAATTTTATCAATCCCAATTATTAAATCAACAAATCAATACCACATCATTAAAGTCAATGTTATGTCAGTATGGTCAATAATCACGTCAATTAATTTAACAAAAATCAAATAATACTATTATCAATTGAACCAATATTGTTAAATTAAACTAATAGAAGAAATTGATTTTTATAAATTATTGTATAAGGATTAAAGTTCAAATTACACCAAAGTATATGGACTAATTATAAATTTAACAAAAATAAATAAATAAAAATAATGAAGACCACAAATCGTGTAAGATAAAGCAAGCCAAACACTTGGTTTGGGTTTTAAATCCAAATCAAGTCCAAAACCTTAAAAATCCATAAGTGAATGGGTTAACCTAACACCTACACAATAAATTCAAATTTAAATGAGTCAAATTAAAATCACTAATTAAATATCAAAAATTGAAATTATTTCAAATGATGTTAGCCAAATGGGGCGGCTGTACTTTTCGGTTCCGGTTGCAATTAATTGGTTTTCGATCTTTCTTGTTCTACTTCCCTTCTTTTTTCTTTTTTTTTTGTTTATTTTTCATTGTTTGATCACAACCAATGAAATTTCATCCAAATTAAAATTTCCTATCTACGCAGAAAATCAAACATTATTCCACTGAATCTAGTCAACAAGGTATTGAATAATCCAAATAAATGTCACATTCATGAGTGACGCGTGCTTGTTCCAAGTTGGCAACTAAACTATTAAATTAGCAATTTCTTTCTTTAGGAGTATAGGTTTGAAAGTGGCTTTTCATGATTGATCAGCAATTTTTTTTTTTTCAATTTTTTTATATGCAATGTCGCATTATGAGATAGATAAAAAGATTCATATGTTAAATTCAAATTTTAAATATATTAAATATTAGTAATTATATAAATTAATTAAATTAAAATTTTCAATTCAACGTACTTTCTTTTTTTTAAAAAAAAAAATCACTTTATTTTCGATTGTTTACAAGTTGCAATCTCTTTTCACTTTTAGGATGGGTGCCAGAAGCTGGTTCAAGAGATTCAAGGTATGTTCCCTCTCATCTTCCAAAATAGTGAGACATTTTATCTTTATATATGTTAGAGTGGATTATTTAATATTTAAAAATTTTTAATTTTTTGAAATTTTATATTTAGATTAGATTCTTTTACTTATAATAAATTGATTTTAAGTTAAATATTTAATATGATATTAAAATCAAAATTTTTTTTATTATTCTTTTTTAATTTGTTACATTGAATATTTTATTTTACCTTCGTTTATACGTGATGAGATTATTAAAATAAATTATCTCACATCTAATAAATTTTTAATTTTTTTTTAATATTATATTTATATTGAGCCGTTAAAATTAGATGGTTAACAATAATTGAAAAAAAAAAATTCAAGGTGTAATTGGGATATAAATTTTAGCTTGCAGAGCCTATATATTAAGTTCTAATCCCATGTCTATCCAACCCTCCAAACAGCTGCTTTCCTTTCCATTGGTCATCTCCCCCAAATCAATGATTAGATCGCCCTCCAAGTGTTAAACCCACAACATAACACACCCATTCACAAACTAAAGGCATATAGAATTTTCTTATATACTTGCGTCGCAATCGAAGTTTGTTTATGGAACTCCGAAACTGTTGATGAGGACAATTATTTTTAAGATTCTGAACTAATATTAATGTAAAAAAATTTTTCCCCTCCTATATCAGTATCCTGTCTTTTTTTACAATGAACTTCCCTCTTTTCTATAACAGTCACAAGCAAAACCCACAATTACAGCAAAGAATATTTATTGATTTCATTTGAATATTTATTGCAAAATAAAACAAGGACAAACCTGCAAATGGCGACACTTTACTCAAAGACCGCTGAGCACACTTTCCCAGTTATTTAAAGTTGTTCTAATTAGATCTCCAGTTATTTAAAGGCTTCGCGAGCCAGCAGCGGTTTCAGGGGTGACACAAACGGCGACGGGGAGAGGGGAGATCGAGAGGAGAGAGGAGCTGTAGGGATTTTGCAGAACGGGGGAAAAAGAATAAAAAAAAAAAAAAAAAAAAAAGAGAAAGGGGATTTGATTTTTGAAGTTTTTCAGCAATGAATTAACGACGAAAGTTTTGTCGGTAATTCAAATTTTTTTACTTTTATTGACGAAAATCGTTGGGAAAAAATGCAATTTTTTCCTTTCAATTTATTTTTATATGGAAATAGTTATTTTTCAAAAAATTTTTACTGACAAAAAAAATTTGAGTAATAATTCTTAAAAAATTTTTAAGTGAAAAAAATTCTTTTAATATTATCAACGAACTAAAATATTCTAAGAGTTTTTCAATAATGAAATTCTAATTTATTTTTTTCAAATAAAAATGAAATAATAATTTTTTAAAAAATAAAAAAGTAAAAATAATAAAATTTTGTGAAAAAGAAGTAAAAAAATGAAAATAAAAAAAAAAACCAAAATTATGACAAAAAAGGGAAAGATAAAGAAAATTTTCTTTAAATATCAAAATTAAGGTATTTCTATCAAAATTAAAAAATAACTCATAATTAATTGATATCATTTTTAAAATGGATGCTGTAGTGATGTTAATCTTTTTTTACATTTAACCGACTTTCAAAACTATTTTTACAAACTCAAAAATTAGTTTTTTAGTAAAGTTTTAATTAATTTAAGATTTTATCAAAAAGATAAATTTTATTAGATGATTAATTACACTTAATAAAAAAATTAGTTATGACTTCTTATATTTTTAAATTTATCTAACGATCTCAAAATTATTATGACAAAAAAAATATGATGTATAAGCACAAGAGGTATATGATGAATTTTTTTATTATTATTAAAGAATGCCAAAAGCGACATTCTTTTATACCTTGGCGTTTTTTAATCCTATAAAATCCTTAGCTTTTTATCGGTGAAAACAAAAGCAAAACAAAGTCATCCAAGATGCAATATTGTATGGTGGAAAGGTTAAAAGCTTCCCTTTCGGTGGTGAAATGTTATACATGCCATTGAAAGAATTTGGTAATTAAACAATCCGGGATTCAGGAACAGTTCCTCCATTGATTCTAAATGCTGTTGTTCATGAAAATCTCATGGCTGCATTTGCCAAAAAGTCATCTTACTCAAAATTCTCCAAGGCCCAGACTATCTACTGCTGACTTTATCAGAGCTAATGTTGCTTCAATTCCATAAGGCTTGATGTGTCATATCAGTGTCAAGTTTAACATTTTTTTTTATACTTAAAGCTATCAAAAATTGAATTATGGTTATTAAAATTAAAAATTTATTACTTTATTAATAACACAACAGCTGTTGGCCAAGAGAAGCATTTCATTTTGAAGACGGAACCAAGATTTGATCTTGATCCGGAAAGAGGAAGCTATCGTTTTCTATATATTAATCGAAGAACAGAGTCCACTTTCCAACGAAACTATGGGAAAATGATCTTGGTGCCACTTTCCAACAAGTTGGGCTTTGTGCTTTTGCTCCTTTCCACTTGGAATTAATTGATTTTTGATCTTTACTTTTCATTCTTTGGTCACAACCAATGATAAATCAAAATTTCCTATCTCGGCAGAAAATCAAACATTATTTGATTGAATCTAGTCGACAAGATTTGGAATAGTCCAAATAAATGTCACATGCATGAGTGACTTGAGCTTGTTCCAAGTTTGCAACTAAACTATTAAATAAACATTTTCTCTCTTTAAGCGTATGGGTTTGAAAGTGGATTTTCATGATTGACCAGCAATATTTTTTAAAATTTTTTTAACTCAAAAGATTGTAATATGAAATAAAAAATAGTAAATGTTATAAATTTAAATTTCAAATATATTAAGATTTTTTTATAATTATTTGGATCAATTTAATTAAATTTCAAATTAAATAATATTTTTTATATAAAAAATTCCCTTTATCTTCATGACTGTTCATGCCAAGTTGCAATCTCTTTCCACTTTTCAGGATGGGTGCCAAAAGCTGGTCCAAGAGATTCAAGGGATGTTCCCCCTCATCTTCTTAAAGAGTGAGAAATTTTAGCTTTATAACTGAAAAAAAAATATATATATATATATATATAAACATTCAAGGTGTAATTGGATACAAATTCTAGCTACCAAAGCCTATACGTTAAGATCTAATCCCATCTCTGTCCAAGCCTCCAAATCAACAGCTAACTGCCTTTCTATGTGTCATCTCCCCCATATCAATGATTAGATCGGCCTCCACGTGTCAAACCACAACATAACAAACCCATTCACAAACTAAAGGCATGTAGATTCTCCCTATGTATATCAGTTAATTGGCAATCATAACACCGAAATTCCATAGGTAAACCAAACAGGAAAAACTAGAAAAACAAACATACCCCAGTAATGGCTATCTTGCCAGGATCAGATCCCTGTAGCCTTGGCTCGTCATTAGAGTCGCCCTTACTTCCTCCAAACAAAGAACCTGGATGGGCACCCATACACGGATCTGAACCTGAAAAGGTCTGCATAGACGGCATGTTACAAAAATACTGCGGAGAATTCGGGTCCTGGCAATTGAGACACTTTGTTTTAACAAACCTGGCATGGGCCCTGGAAGCTTTCCACACCATGGTCATGATATTTGCAGACCAGGAACCTGCTTGGAGGTGTATAAAAGGGTCAGGGTGCGATGAGAAGGAGAGCAACGTTTGTGGGCTTGAACCAGGGTCTTGGGAATGGAAGGGTGGTTCAGGAAGCTCCACGGTGGCTCAGTGGGGATTGGTTTGTGGTGAGAAGTATAAGGTTGGGCTTGTTCAGGCTTTGTTTTTTGGCGGCTGCATGATTGGTGAGTTGTTTCCAGCTGATCTTTCTCTTTAGTTCTTATCTTGTTGTCTGCTAGGTTTTTTTTTTTTTAGCTGTCAGGTTTAACATTTTACTTTCTCTTTTATAAATATTGTTCAAAACTTTGCCTAAATTTAACTCATTTTGGAATAATCTTAAAGGCGTATTAGAAGTAATTATTTTTTGTTTTATTATAAAAGAAAATGTAATTTAGTAACACAACAAGTTTCTACTGCCATGGAAACCATACATGGTGCACTAAATGCGTTTCTGGACCTGAAAATTTATAAGTGACATATACATCAAGTTGATCAGAAACCATAAATGGTGCACCAAATGCATTTGTGTTCCTGAAATTCATAAAAATGAAGAAGAGTGTGATATACATGTCAAGGTTAATCTGATATATTGTCAAGGTTTATCTATATAAGCGGTGAAATTGATTTTCAGTAAAATTAAAATTAATAAATTAATAAAAAAATGTTTAAATACAAATATAATAAAAGCATAAAATTTATTTTTTTTTTACATTAAAATAATCAACTGTAGTTATTTACTTAATCTTTCTCTCTTTAGTCACAGACAGAAGGATAATCGAGGCAATTGCACCGTAGGATGCTATCTAAATACATCTCACAATACAATTAGCCCCCAAAAAACTAGATTCCATTGAATTCGATTTGCGATGAAATCCAAAAGAGCCCAAGTCTATAAAAAAGTAATATATTATTTTAGAAAATAATAAAACTCAACATCAATATTTTAATTATTTATTAATTTAACAAAATTATATATTTTTGGATTGACGGTCGTCTAGATAAAGACTGGTTATTAAATGATAAGAACAAAACTTGTTTTTTCCTTTATAAAAGAATGGTTATTTGCAATGGTTAACTGGTGCATGTTACGAGACAAGAAATATGAAGCAAAGAGGCGGTGATAATTTATGCATAGAAGAGACACATAGCAGGCAAAGAATTAGTTGTTTTTTTTTTTTTTTTTTAATGATACTTTGACTACTGCTGTTTGTTTGCCACTGAAGCTTCCCTTGTCATGTTCACATGTTTGTTTGTTTATTACATCTTGTGCACATGTGAGAAATAGAAAATTGGAATCTTTTAATTCATGTTACTGATCATGCTCAAAGTGTAGCTTTAACTTATTGCAAAATGGACAAAATAGCATGATTGGATCACATGAGTTAAGTTTTAGGGTAATAAAAAATAGGATATGATGATATAATATAAGAATAATATAAAAAATACAATTTAAAATTTTTATAAAAATAATATATAAGTTTAATAAAAATAAAAAATATATATTTTATATTAATGTGTAATATGAATTATAATATAATAATTTTAATATTTTACATATATTAAATACGAAATAAATAAACAAAATTTAGAATTTGAATATTTGTAAATCATAAAATAGTAAACAAGTCATTAACATTTGCTAAAACACAAGCATTTTCTGGATGATATAATAATGATTTTTCTCATGTTGTTGTTCAGATTAGCCATGAATTTAAGCTTATCTAAGCTTTAAGTATCATCACAGACATTAATTTGTACTGTCTATTTGGATTTACTTCGATTTGCCTTTGAACCCAAAGTTGAACCAGGAAGGATACCGTGCTAGTATATATTTTTATTGAGTAGCCGTTTTGCTTTATTTTTTTTTTTCTTTTTCATCAATCGGGGTGCTTTAAATTTCTTTTCTAATATCAGATGCTGATATATATTACTTTTTGCCCGTTTGCCTTATGGTTATTTGATGAAAATTTCCCCGGAAAAAATAAAGTTCATGATCAAGTTGAAAAGCAACAGTGAAACATGAAAAATCTTGTTCTTGATGTTGATAATGTTGGGTCATATCATTACTCTGCTCATACTCAATTACATCACGTTACACTTTCTCAAACTTGCTTGTTCATGTCAGAGTTGATGTCCTATCACCTTTTTATCTTTTACTTTGTTGAGAAAAAAAGTATTACTCCTTTTTCCTCTTTTTGCTGCTTTTCTGTTCTTCCTTATGGCACCTTTTATATATGTTTCTCTTCTGTTACATCATCTGCTCTTTAAGTTAACGACTAATCCAACACTAAGTCATGATTGTTGTACCATGGAGGCATGCACACGCCCACTTCACCATATGATTTTCTTTTGGATAAGTTATTTTTGTTTGTGGATAGCACTAAAATTATGTCACAATTCATAATTATAATTATACAAAAAAATAAGAAATATATTATTTTTTAATTTTTATTAAATTTGTTTATATTATTTTTATAACTGTAATGTTTTAAATTACTGTTAAATTGCGGGGAAGGGTGGGGGAATAGTACTATCACATCTTCAATCTGGTTTTTCAATGTAACCACAACAGTAACATAAAAAATCATTTATCTTCAGTTATTTGATTTAATGATTAAATAAGCCTTAAAGAAGATATAAGGTTGGGGTTCGATTCTAACCTCTCCTCTTCCCCTGTTGTAAGGTTCTGCCTCCTTTGAAACCCAAAAAAAAAAACATCATCCATCGTTAATATATTGATGCAAAAACTTAATTACTTTGTGATAAGAAACTTCAGATAATTGAATTCATTACTAAAATTCAATTTTTGAACACATTTTTCAGGTGCAGGAGTATTTGGTCATCTATCAGACTCAAAACTGGGAAGAAAAGGTTCATTAACAGCAGTTTGCATCTTAAATGCCATCTTTGGTTTCCTCACATCATTAGCCCCAGGCTACTTCACATATCTCCTGCTGCGATTCCTGACAGGATTCAGCACCGGAGGCGTTGGCCTCTGCTCCTTTGTCTTGGCCACTGAACCTGTTGGCCCAACAAAACGTGGTGTTGCTGGAATGTCCACATTCTATTTCTTTTCAACTGGAATAGCATTACTCTCAGGCATAGCTTACATTTTTCGTTCATGGCGAGCGCTTTATATTGCTTCATCCATTCCCTCTATCCTTTTCCTTGTTCTGGTCATTCCTTTTATCTCTGAGTCCCCACGGTGGTACCTTGTTCGTGGGAAAATGAACGAAGCAATGAAAATTATGCGAACCATAGCTAAATCTAACGGAAATCACCTTCCTGATGACGTTATCCTTGCACTGGATGATGAATCCAATGATGTTTCAAAAGCAACAGTAGAAAAAGAAGCAATCAGTGGTTCTATTATAGATGTAGTTCGATCACCAATCACTCGAATTCGACTATTTCTAGCAGTTGGAATCAACTTCACCTGTTCTGTTGTGTACTATGGCCTCAGCCTAAATGTTGTCAACCTTGAGACAAACCTTTACCTCAATGTGTTCCTTAATGCAGTAGCTGAAATGCCAGCATTCACAATAACAGCACTTCTGTTGGATAAATTTGGGAGGAAACCAATGGCCATTGGGACACAATGGTTCAGTGCAATCTTTTGCTTTATGGGAAGCCTGATGGGAAATGTAGGAATATGGAAAGTAATGAGAATGTGTTGCGGGATTCTGGGGATATTTGGCATGGCTGGAACTTATAATCTGTTGTTTATCTACACAGCAGAGCTGTTTCCTACAGTGGTGAGAAATGCAGCCCTTGGATGTGCAACTCAGGCAGCCCAAATGGGAGCCATTTTGGCACCATTTGTGGTGGTTTTGGGCGGTGGCTTTCCATTTGTAGTGTTTGGGGTATGTGGATTGATTGGAGGGATGCTTGCATATTACTTGCCAGAGACAGTGAACAAGCCATTGTATGACACAATGACAGGAATGGAAGAGCGGGAGAGTTATAGGGAAGTTGCTTGAAAGTATATTACTTGCCAGAGTTCATTACATTATTGAGCATCTAAAATTCACGTAATGGGATTTTCACAGCTTTTTTTTTTCTTTTTAATCATAGAAGAACTGCTACAGAAATCAGACTGACCAAGACATTGTTCAAGCAGAAACAGAATGTTTTTCCTGTAATTCTTGAATAATAGACCTCAGTTCATCACATGCCTATTGCATTTAAATTCATTTCTAATATTACAAAATTCATAATCAATTTCTTTTTTCTTGCCAGAGATGATAGGCTGCCCCCATTGTAAATCCATCCCTGATCAAGATAAAAAAAATGACAAAGCACGTTCCTGAACTATTCCAGTCATTTACGGCCATAGGAATTATAGCCATTTGAATTACACATGTTCTGTTGATTAGTTCGTTCTGGCCGAGGTCTTACATACTGCAAATATAACCCAACCATCGAGGAACTGAAACGATACGAAGAAAATAACAGTAAAGCATGGTTCAATGATCTAAAGGCAACCATTGCCCTTTCAATCTTAATCTAATCTTAACACTTCAAATCAAAACAGAGAGCCTTGGAAATTGTATAAAAAATTATTAAAATTGTATTAATGGTCATTAAAATTATATCATAAGTTACTAAATTAATAATAAAGTTTACTAAAATTTTATCAAAGTTATTAAAATCAAAATTATATCAAAAGTTATTAAATTTTATTTATATTATACTAAAATCAAAATTAAATTATTAGTAATTTATTATTGTTATTATTATTATATAAAATTATTTATTGAAATAAAATTTTAAAACTAAAAATTATACTTACATCATGTATGCGCCAAAAATTAATATTAAAATAAAAATTAATTAAAATTAAAAAAATAACCAGTTGTTGAGTTAAAAAATTTAACTGAAAAATATAAAAAATGAATTAAGTGATAAATACCAAAATTGAAATATTAATGAATACCAAACTGATTAATTAAAAAAATAAACGCTTTTAAGATTTTATGCAAACCTAAAGGATACAGTGTAGTTAATGTTAATTGCTTTCAAGAGCTCTAAGTTCTTTCTAACAGCCTATAAATGATTCTTTTGGTTGGCAGTGAATTCTTGCAGCAGCACCAAAGTCTTCTGCCAACCAAAATAAGAGAAACCATTATTCTTGTCCTTAAGGCTATTATGGCAAGTTTGAATGTTTATGTTGCTGTAGGAGTTCTAGCTATTATGGCAATTAGTGGAGCAGTCATGGCACGAGATGTTGATCCAATCAAGGCATATGACTGTGAAAACAAAAGAAAGATGACATGGAATTGTATTAATGAAGTTTTTGCAAGCATATTCAAAACTGGAACTGTCAGTGATGAATGTTGTCATCAACTGGTCAATCTTGGCCTAACATGCCATGAAGCATTGGTGAAGAGAACACTTCAAAATCCTTTGTTCAAAAATAATGATAAATTGGTGATCTTTTCAAAGACTGCACAAATATGGAACAATTGTAGTTTAGTTGGTGATGTTTCACCTAGTCCTTCTCCTCGAGGAATTTAGTACTAATTAATTATGTCAACAAAAGTTATAGTAAAAAATAATCACCATGGCATGTATCAATTATAAAGAAAAAAACGGTTTCTCACTTGTTCTTGATATTAATGAAATTAATTACTTTTAATTAAATGAGTGAAAGATATTGCTTATAAATTTCTTGGTTCTTTTTACCGCTTTCAACATTTTTTTTTTAGTAATACAATTATAAACATCTCTCAAGTTTTGCTTGAATCTAATCTCCTCAATAAGGGATCTTCAAGGCACGTTCTCCACGTCATCTTTATTACGTAAATCTTGAAATATCAAGCAGAATTTCATTGATTTTAGTAATTTTTTAAAATGCATCTATATTTGAAAATAAACTTTTATCGGCTATCACATTTTTTGTTTTCCTGAGATAGATATCACAGAAACTCAAAGAAATTATGTGAAGTATAAAGGCTGCCACTAAATAAAACAATGGCCAATCGGGAATATTAAAATTGTTTCCAAGATAATAATGAGTGAAACAATGTAAAGAAAAAAAAAATACAATTATAACTCAAAAGCTTTATCTTTTTTTGTAGAGAAAAAAAACTTTTATTTTCTCTTTATTTGTCCTTTTAAAACTTTTGACCCCATAGTTATCTATTAATTAGTCTTTGATGGTCGTTTGTGAAAATTTTTTCGGTAACCGACAGCCTTATTGTTTATTATTAGAGTGTTAAATTTTTTATTTTAGTAATCAAAGTTCAATTGTTAATAATTTCAAATATAAAAAAAAATATTTTTCGTAATTTCTCATTTGCTAGTGAAAATTGTTGTTCCTTTGCATATTTTGTTCTTACAGTAAAATTTATAAATCTTTCAATCAGTCAATTTTGATAATCAAATTAAAAAGTATAGCCATCTTTAAGCAAAAATTTTCATATATTGAACTCTTTGATTTCCGCTCCACCATGGTTGAACGCATAATATAATAAGAAATGTATTGGTTAACATCTTAATTTTAAAATTTTGAAGTTAGGAAATTTTATTTCTTATTTGAATATATATACTAATATAAATCAGCGTTTAATGTGTTAATGGAACAATATTTTTTTGAATTTTTCCTATTACTCATACAATTAATCAAGCATATGCAAAATGTAACTTTACAGTCTCAAAAAAAAAAATTTAAAAGTATATATTAATTGTTTAATTGCAAAAAGTGTGCAACTAACATAAGTTTTCAATAACAATAAAAAAATAAACCTAGCTACATAAGTAAATTAGCTTGAATCAATCGAAAAAAAAGATGTATTGGTATAAAGCCCAAAAACTCTTTGTCTCTTAAAAAAAAAAAAGTAATCCTAGTATAGATAAATATATATAGGTATAAGTGTAGGTATGAGAAAGATGTTATATTATCTATTATTATCTTCATCATACTAAAAAATTTAAAATCATATACATCTTAATTCTCAAAATTTTAATATCTCATCCACATTCGGATAAAAATAATTAAATTTCCCATCGAATATGAGTAAAATTAACATCCTTAATTATGTATGTCCTCTTGATAATCCATAGGACACATGATTGAATTCTTATGCTTATAAGTTGGAAGTATGATAAATTAATAGCTAATAAGGAAAAAAGTTATTAATATTCATTGTTTCCAAAAATATATATTATAGGCACTCGTTAATTAAAGCCATCTTATATACATCATTTTTGTACTTTTTTAATTAAAAAATTATTTTTTACAGTTTTTTTAATATATAAGATGTCGTAACTTGAAAATAAAAGAAAGAATTGTAAGTATTAGAATTTAAATTTGTTAAATATCGCTTTTTAAAAATGACTATCAATCTCTATATTTCATGTAATTTCTCAATCTCATTGGTGGGTCCTAAAAGCTGTGTTTCTTAGCTTTCTCTACATTAGTTTCCATAAAAATTAATGCTTATCCATTTAAACACCTTCACCTGTGGGAGAAAAACAACATTGGAGTCACTTTTGCCTTAATGTTTCTTCTTCAATTATCAACTATATTATTAAACTTTACTATTAAGATAACTAAACACTGTTTTATTTTATACAAATCTTGGGAATTCTATAACCTAGCTTTTCCCATGCTACACCAAAGATAAAGCTATAGCTTCACCAATGTCAATTGTTACAATATAAAAAATATAAATTATTCTATCATAATTCATGTCAACATACGAAACATGAAATATTTTTTTTTCAAATTAACAGAATGTTTCAAAATTTTAAATTATGTGATTTTTATATTTTTTTTCATATCATTTTAATATTTAAAACTAGCAAATTTTGTGTAAATTGAGTTTTGAAATAATGTGTATTGAATTTAAAAATAGGATGATTGAAAGGAATATATATATTTATAGCATTGATTATTCTATTTAGTTGATATTCACAATGTTATTTTCATTTAAACATTAAGGAATTTTTTTTCTTGAACCTCGTCGTATATGTTAATGTTTTAGTTTCCATTTGGATGGACAGTTGCTATTAGTAAGATGCAATTTTTCTGTTTAACTGGATTAGCCATCCATTTGGGTAACAGAAAATGAGAAATTTTTACTACACCGTAATAATTTTTTTGACTTGACCATAAAGGTCCAGTGGAAAAACTCACTATTCATTACACATTTTCTTTCAAATAGGTCCAATGGATAATTAATTAAAATTTAAAAAATAATTGTTTATTGAGTTGAAAGAATTAACTGATAACATACAAAAAACAAAATTAGTAATAAATACGAGAATTGAAATCTCATAAATACTAGACTAATTATGCAAACTGATAAATAAAATGTACTTAATGTTTATTGCAGTTGAAATGTTATTAATTTCTTTTAAAAGCACTAAATTCTTTCTGATAGCCTACAAATGATCTTTTTGGTTGACACTGAATTTTTGCAGCAATACCAAAGTCTTCTGCCAACCAAAATAAGGGAAACCATTATTCTTGTCTTCAAGGCTACTATGGCAAGTTTGAATGTTTATGCTGCTGTAAGAGTTCTAGCTATTATGGCAATTAGTGGAGCAGTTATGGCACGAGATGTTGATCCAATCAAGGCAAATGAATGTGAAAACAAAATCAAGATGACATGGCATTGTATTAATGAAGTTTTTGCAAGCATATTCAGAACTGGAATTGTCAGTGATGAATGTTGTCATCAACTTGTCAATCTCGGCCTAATATGCCATAAAGTATTGGTGAAGAAAACACTTCAAAATCCTTTGTTTAAAAATAATGATACATCAGTGATCTTTTCAAAGACTGCATAGATATGGAACAAGTGTAGTTTAGTTGGTGATGTTTCACCTAGTCGTTCTCCTTGAGGAATTTCATATTAATTAATTATGTCAACAAAAGTTAAAGTAAAAAATAATCACCATAACATATATCAATTATGAAGAAAAAAATGGTTTCTCACTTATTCTTGATATCAAGGAAATTAATTACTTTTGATTAAATGAGTGAAAAATATTGTTTATAAATTTCTTGGTTCTTTTTACTACTTTTAAGATTTTTTTTTTTTTGGTAATACGATCATAAGCATTTCTCAAATTTTGCTTGAATCTAATCTGCTCACTAAGGGATCTTAAAGGCACATTCTCCATGTCAACTTTATTACTTAAATCTTGAAATATCAAGTAGAATTTCATTGATTTTAGTAATTTTTGTGAATGCATCTGTATTTGGAAAGAAACTTTTGCTGGCCATCACATTTTTTGTTTTCCATAATAATTGAGAGATATATATCATAACAAATCAAAGAAATCATGTGAGGTATAACGGTTGCCACTAAATAAAACAATGACCAATGGGGAATATTAAAATTGTTTCTGAGATAAAAAAGAATAAAATGATGTAGAGAAAAAAATACAGTTATAAATCAAAAGCTTTATCTTCTTTTGTAAAGGAAAAAAAAATTTTATTTTCTCTTTGTTTGTCTCCTTAAAACTTTTGACCACACGGTTATGTATTATTTAGTCTTTGATGGTAGGTTATGAAAATCCTTTTGGTAACCGATAGCCATATGGTTTATTTTTAGAGAATTAAATTTTTAATTTTAGTGATAAAGTTCAATTGTTAATAATTTCAAATATAAAAAAATATTTTTGATAATTTCTCATTTGCCAACTAAAATTGATGTTCCTTTACATGTTTTGTTCTTATAGTAAAATTTATAAATATTTCAATAAATCAATTAATTTTGATATTCGAATCAAATGGTATAGCAACCTTTAAGCAAAAATTTTCATATATTGAACTCTTTGATTTCCACTTCACCATGGTTGGAAGCATAATAATAATGAGAAACATAAAAGTTAACTTCTCAATTTTAAAATATTCAAGTTAAGAAATTTTATTTCTTATTTGAATTTATACACTAGAATAAATTAGGATTTATTATGTTTATGGAACAATATTTTTTTGAAAATTTCCCATTATTCATATAATTATTCAAGCATATCCGAGATGTAACTTTACAGTAACTAAGAAAATTTTTTAAGTTTATATTAATTGTTTAATTGCAAAAAGTGTATAACTAACATAAGTTTTCAATAATAATAAAAAAATGATCCGCGGCATAAATAAATTAGCTTGAATCGATCTAGGAAAAAGATGTATAGCTATAAAGCCCAAAAACTCATTGTCTTTTAAAAAAGTAATCTTAGTATATATAAATATATATAGGATATGAGTAAGGGTACAAAATTAGTGATATGTTATTCATCATTGTCTTTATATCTGATAAAAAATTTAATCATATGCATTTCAATCCTGAAAGTTTAATATCCCATTCATATTTGGATAAAAAAATTAAGTTTTTCATCGAATATGAGTAAAAATAACATTCTTAATTAGGTATGTCCTCTTGATAATCCATAAGTCACATGATTGAATTCTTACACTTAAAAGTTGGGACTATGATAAATTAATATCTAATAAGGGAAAAAAGTTATTAATATTGATTGTTTCAAAGTATATATAAAAATGT